GAGAGCAGTAGAAAACCTGCGACAGGCCGGGCGCGGTGGCTCAAGCCTGTAATCCCAGCACTTTGGGAGGCCGAGACGGGCGGATCACGAAGTCAGGAAATCGAGACCATCCTGGCTAACCCGGTGAAACCCCGTCTCTACTAAAAATACACACAAAAAAAAAACTAGCCGGGCGAGGTGGCGGGTGCCTGTAGTCCCAGCTACTCGGGAGGCTGAGGCAGGAGAATGGCGTAAACCCGGGAGGCAGAGCTTGCAGTGAGCTGAGATCCGGCCACTGCACTCCAGCTTGGGCGACAGAGCGAGACTCCGTCTCAAAAAAAAAAAAAAAAAACCTGCGACAGAGAAAAGCAGAAAGACCCATAACAGATAGCAAAGTAGAGGATGGTGAGGGATTTGTGAAGAGACAGCAAAAGTGAAAATAAAAAAGATAAGAAAGCAGGAGGAGAAATGTAGAGAAAAGCTACAAGAGATAGCAAAAGTGGGGAAAAAAAGAAAAAAAGAAAAGAAAGTGGAGGAGAAAAGCAACCGGAGAAATGTAGAGAAAATCTAGCTGTACAGAGAGATGATGGACGACAGCAAGGTACAGAGGGGCAGCAAAGAGGGAGGCTCATCAGAGTGAGGGAGAGGAGGAGGGATTTGGAGCCAGGGCAGACAGAGCACAGTGGTGCTGGTGGCAAGGAGAACAGAGGGAGAATCACAGCAGGGAGGACACCTGGGGATCTGGGGTGCCAGAGAGTGGGGACGGGGGTATAACAGGGAAGACGGAATTTAACAGGGAGAGCAGAGGAGGAGCAGAGATGGGAGAAGAGGCAGAAATAGATGGAGATTGAGGACGATCTAAAGATTGGGGAGAAGGAGCAACAAGAGGTTAAACAAGATGTGAGGATGGAACCCAGATAATTTTTGTATTTTTAGTAGAGACAGGGTTTCACCATGTTGGCCAAGCTGGTCTTGAACTTCTGACCTCAGGTGATCCACCCGCCTCGACCTCCCAAATTGCTGGGATTACAGGCGTGAGCCACCGCACCTGGCCACCCATGCATTCTTGATTGAAAAAGTTTGCTTATGTCTTAGTTCTACAGCTGACCCTCTTTCCCTGTTTTTTGTTTGTTTGTTTTGAGACGCACTTTCGCTCTTGTTGCCCAGGCTGGAGTGCAATGGAGCGATCTCACGTCACCACAAGCCTTTTTTTTTTTTTTTTTTTTTTGAGATGGGAGGTCCCCTCTTGTTGCCCAGGCTGGAGTGCAATGATGCGATCTCGGCTCACTGCAACCTCTGACTTTCTCGTTCAAGCAGTTCTCCTGCCTCAGCCTCCCTAGTGGCTGGGATTACAGGCATGTACCACCACGCCAGGCTAATTTTGTATTTTTAGTACAGATGGGGTTTCTCCATATTGGTCAGGCTGGTCTCGAACTCCCGACCTTAGATGATCCGCTGGCATCGGCCTCCCAAAGTGCTGGGATTACAGGCATGAGCCACCAAGCCTGGCCTACTCACTGCAACCTTTACCTCCCAGTTTCAAGTGATTGTCCTGCCTTGGCCTTCCTGAGTAGCTGGAATTACAGGCATGCATCACCACTTCTAGATAATTTTTGTAGTTTTAGTAGAGATGGGATTTCTCCATGTTGGTCAGGCTGGTCTGGAACTCCCAACCTCAGGTGATGCGCCCGCCTCGGCCTCCCAAAGTGCTGGGATTACGGGTGTGAGCCACTGCACATGGCCTCTCTGTTTTCAAGGTCGCTAGCTGTGTCTTTATACTTCTGCATTTTATAAATGTTACTGTAATTTTCTTGTGAGGAAGAATTAAATGTTGGGAATCAGTGGCATCAGAACCTGACAAAAGAAGTTTCTTTATCCCAGGTATGTGAAAGATGCTTCTCTAAGTTTCAAGTATAATTTTGATAAGGCCAGCCCTTTCCACTAGCCCTTCCAGGCCACCATGTCAGAATTCAGGTACATCTTCTCACTCATCTCAGACCTTCTCAGCGTAACTCATTGAAAATGTCCGTGTTCTGAGGATATCACAGTGAAATCTAAAGCAGGTCATGTCAGTCCCTGGCAGAGAACCCTCCACCGGTTTCCCGTGTTCCCCAGGACAAAAGTCCAGCTCCTCACTGTGGCTCCACAGCCCTGTGTCCAGGGCCCCTGCCAGTGTCCAGCCTCCTCCTGGGAGCTTGCCCTCCTCTCATGTCTTCCTCTGCCCCAGTCACATTTGCTTTTCTCTTTTCCCAAACCTCAAAACCCTTCCTGTCTCAGGCTGTTTTCACTGCTCTTACCCTCTGTCCCTAAATGCTCACAGCACTGTCCCCTTCTCCTCCTTCAGGTCTTGGCTCAGAAATGTCTCCCATGCTCTCCCACCCCGATCTGAAGTTCCCTCTGCCAGTCAGTCTCTATCACATTACTCAGGTTTTATTATCTCTGCGTCAATCACATCAGAAACACGCTTTTTTTTCTTTTCCCAGAGAGTCTCACTCTGTCCTCCAGGATGTGAATGCAGTCTTATGATCTTGGCTCACTGTAACCTCTGTCTCCTGAATTCAAGCAATTCTTGTGCCTCAGCCTCCCAGGTAGCTGAGATTACAGGTATGTGCCACCATACCCGGCTAATTTTTGTATTTGTATTTTATTTTATTTTTGAGTCTCACTCTGTTGCCCTGGCTGGAGTCCAGTCGTGCCATCTCGGCTCACTGCGACCTCCACCTCCCAGGTTCAAGTGATCCTGCAACCTCAGCCTCCGGAGTAGCTGGGATTACTGACACCCCACCAAGCCTGGCTACTTTTTGTATTTTTGGTAGATACAGGGTTTCACCATGTTGGCCAGGCTGCTCTCGAACTCCTGACCTCAAATAATCCTCCCACCTCAGCCTTCCAGAGTGCTAGTATTTCAGGCATGAACCATCACGCCCAGCCCAATTTTCGTGTTTTTAGTACAGACAGGATTTCACCATGTTGGCCAGGCTGGTCTCAAACTCCTGAGTTCTAGTGATCATCCCACTTCAGCTTCCTAAGTAGCTGGGACCAGAGACACACAGACGTGCACCAACCATACGTGGCCAAATTTTTGTATTTTTGGTAGAGATGGGGTTTCCCATGTTGCCCAGGCTGGTCTCAAACTCCTGAGCTCAAGCCATGTACCCACCTTGGCTTCCCAGAGTGCTGGGATGACAGGCATGAGCTACCACACCCAGCCTCCGCACGGGGTTTGGTCAGGGCTGGGTCTGTGCCCTGAAGGGGATCTCATTCCAGCCCAGCTCCTCAATCCTGCAGTGTGTGTGTGGGCTTCTCCAGGAGGGAAGTGAGAGTCTTGTAGAAATGTATCATCCCTGGTGCAGTGGGCAGCAGAGGTGACTGTATTTTTTCAGGGTGAGGGCACCTTTGTATGTGTCATTGTGTTACAGGGAGGAAGTGTGTTGATTCTGAGCAATAAACAACATATTTCTAACATTCAGGATTGACTTCTAAAGACTCTTGGTACGTGAGGAAAAAACACAGAAGAGGAAAGCAAAGGGTCAGGGATGGCTGTTCCTCAGGTGAGATGATATTCTCGGTGGATTGTTCTGTCTCTTTCCTTTCAGAAACCCTGGGCCTTGGTGTTGGGAATTTCTCTGAGTCTCAAGTGTCCTCCCTGACAGGTTTGCTCACACTCACCCATGCCTTCCCTCAGTCCCTCTCATCTTGCTCACGGGGTGAGGGTCCCGTGGTGTCAGTGCTGTTGGGCAGCAAGGATTGTTCAGGGGCCACATCTGGATGCTCTGTCAGCTCTCTGTGGACCAGGAGTAGAGCAGCTGCCAATGGAAGTCACATATTCGTGTGCCCAAAGTACGTGGTAAATTCTAGAAAAGGAGACCAATAAGGGAAAATCTTTTCTCCCTGATTTTATACTAAATTTTTCAGTAATTGAATGAGTTGCTCTGTTTCTGACTCAAAAAATCTTAGTACTTAGAATGGGAAATTCATACACAGACATGAATGATACAGGGGTTTTATTCCATCATTATTTTAAGAATATGAAGTCAACCTAAATAACAGCAGGAGATTTATTAAACCATTCTTAACAAATTAAGCTGATGGAGACAGTGGTGTTACTGTGGAGAGTCTTGTGAAACAGGTGTTTTTTGTAAAACTGGTTACAATTTTTCTGAAGTATAGGAGCAGTACTTCCAGCTGCCAAAGTATCCTTTTCCACCAAAATGAGGTCCTCTTTAGTTAAACAAAACTTGCTACTTTTTATATTTTTAAAACCTTTATATATATACACATATGCACACACATATGTACATACACACACATATATACACATATGTGTGTATTTTGAAAATATTGCATACTTTGAAAATCTGGGACAAATGACAACACTTTGTATTAACATGTAGTTTTTTGTGAGTGTGTGTAGGTTTTATTATTTTTTGAACATATACAAAATAGAGTTTTGTACTTTAATTAATCTTATTTTCATGTATTTTATTTTATTTTGAGATGGAGTCTTCCTTTGTTACCGAGGCTGGGACGCCTTGGCGCAATCGTAGCTCACTGAAATCCCCACCATCAGAGTCAAGCCATCCTCCCACCTCAGCCTTCCAAGTAGTTGGGACAACAGGTGCCTGCCACCATGCCCAGCTAATTATTTACTTCTAACATAAGAAATTCATACTGAGAGGGTATCCTGACCTCTTCAAAAAGTGTAATCAAACACCAGTGGGAAGACATTATGTGGTGGAAAATCCCTCGCTTGGATTTGTCAGAACATTCCTACAATTGAATCCATGCTTTCTCCTCTCTCGTCTTCTCATTTTCTGTAGAGCTAAGAACTTCTCCCATAGCCATTTGGTTAAAATGTGTTTTCATTTCAGGGTCTACTGACATTCAGGGATGTGGCCATAGAATTCTCTCAGGAGGAGTGGAAATGTCTGGACCCTGCTCAGAGGACTTTATACAGAGACGTGATGGTGGAGAATTACAGGAACCTGGTCTCCCTGGGTGAGGATAACTTCCCTCCAGAGGTGGGGATGTGCCCTTTTGTATCTTTGTATTTTCTCTTGTTGCCTCATGGGAGCTGCATCCTTGCTTGACTAATGTGGAAGTCATGTTGATTTTGAAATGAAAAGCTTCATGATGTAGCTTCTGGACTTTCACTGTCCCCTTTGTTTAGATGTTTTGCATTCTTCATGATAGCTCAGGAGGGGTTCCAGAGTAAAGTAAGCATAAAACCTTATGGCAGACCAGGCATAGTGGCTCACGCCTGTCATCTCAGCACCTTGGGAGTCTGAGGCGTGTGGATCACTTCAGGTCAGGAGTTCAAGATCAGCCTGGCCAACATGGAGAAATCCCATCTCTACTAAAAACACAAAAATTAGCCAGGCGTGGTAGTGCATGCCTGTAATCCCAGCTCCTAGAAAGGCTGACAAAAGAGAATCGCTTGATCCCGGCAGGCCAAGGTTCCAGTGAGCTGAGAACACACCACTGCACTCCAGCCCGAGTGACAGAGCAAGACTGTGTCTCACAAAACAAAAACAAAAACAAAAACAAAACCTTCTGGCATACTTTAAAGATATCCAGTTTCCTGTTTGCTTCTCCTGTGCTGTCAATTCAGTAGTTCTTGGAAGAGAGCTCGATGTCCACATATTACATATTACAATGCTCCCCAAGCATTCAGAGGGAGGCAGTCAGTGGAGAAATCAGTGAAATATTTTCCTAGATCATCTGCAGTGTCTTCTTTCCTACTGAAACATAGGGCTGGGACTCTGGAAAAGCTCCAGCACGTCACAGTACTTTCTTTTTTTTTTTTTTTTTTTTTTTTTTGAGACGGAGTCTCGCTCAGTCGCCCAGGCTGGAGTGCAGTGGCGCGATCTCAGCTCACTGCAAGCTCCGCTTCCTGGGTTCACGCCATTCTCCTGCCTCAGCCTCCCGAGTAGCTGGGACTACAGGCGCCCGCCACCGTGCCTGGCTAATTTTTTGTATTTTTAGTAGAGATGGGGTTTCACCATGGTCTCGATCTCCTGACCTTTTGATCCACCCGCCTCAGCCTCCCAAAGTGCTGGGATTACAGGCGTGAGCCACTGCGCCCGGCCAGTACTTTCTTTTTATAAGCAGGAATCTCTTGCTGACCTGCTGTCTCCATGTTGGAGCGAGAAAAAGAGCCCTGGACTGTGGAGAGTGAAGTAAATATAGCAATAAAATCCAGCTGGGTGGGAATGTATTACAGGCGTAAAGGCAGGTAAGAGCTCAGATGGGCAGAGTGGAAGCTCCACCTTCCAATAGTGTGTGGGGAAACTCTGCAAGTGGGAGAATTCTGTGGGAAAAGGAAAATTTCTATCCTGAGATCTCTGAAATAACATCTTTATTTGCCCCCTCTTATCCCTCTGCTCTTCCTTTCTTTTTCTTATTTTATGAAAGAGTCTCACTCTGTTGCCCCGGCTACAGTGCAGTGGTATGATCTTGGCTAACAGCAGCCTCTACCTCCCAGGCTCAAAGGATTTTTATGTCCCAGCTTCCTGAGTAGCTGGGACTGCAGGCACTCACCACCATGCCCAGCTGATTTTTGTGTTTTCAGTAGAGACAGGGTTTCATCATGTTGGCCAGTCTGGTCTCAAGTGATCCACCTGCTTTGGCTTCCCAAAGTGTGGGCCTAAGATTACCTAGTTGCTGAGGCAAGAGACTGAAGGCACAAACTGTTTCAGTATAATAAAGAAAATAGTTAGAATAAGAATAATAATATAAATTAGATATAGAGATGATCATGGCAATTGTCAGTCATTATTATAAACATTATTGATCATTAGCTTTTAATATTACTCTTTGTTGCATTACTAATATAACCTAGGACTAGCTGGCAGGTATAGGGTCAGGTGCTGAAGGGACATTGTGAGAAGTGACCTAGAAGGCAAGAGGTGAGCTTTCTGTCACACCCGCATAAAGGCCACTTGAGGGCTCCTTGGTGAAGCAGTCGCGCCAGTGTCTGGGAAGGCCCCTGTTACTCAGCAGACTATGAAAGGGAGTCTCCTTTCCTTGGAGGAGTCAGGGAATGCTCTGCTCTTCCAGCTTCTTGTGGAAGGCTGGATATTATCCAGGCCTGCCCGCAGTCGTCCTGAGGCCTAAACGCCTCCCTGTGGCGCTGTGCTTCAATGGTCACACTCTTTGTCCACTTTCATGCTCCTCCCATACTGCTGGTTCCTCTTTGAAGTTCATAGTAGATAGCGGTAGAATAAGCAGTGAAAGTCTTAAAGTCTTTGATCTTTCTTAAAAGTGCATAGAAGAA